AACATATATAAGTAGAATTCACTTCTGCTTGATTTAGTTTTAGACTTCCTTTATAATTTATCCATTAACCAAGTAGTGATACCTTGTAATTTCATCTGTATCTAAGAAAATGGCAGCTTTGGATAAGTTCCCCTAAAATAGAGTCAGTCAGAGGAAGGCAAACTAGAAAGCCTCAGTATATAAGACTATAACTCCCACAAGCCCCAGCTATCAAGATAATTGGCCATGGCTATAGGTGGTGTAATGCAAATATCTGAAGCACCAGATCACCCACCATGGCTTTCCAACCTAGTTGGAGACTTCAAATAGAATATGAGTCTCTTTTGTTATACAAAGGGTCTCTGATGACTAATGGCCATGACTCATGAACCCAAAAAAATGTACTGCAGTGATCTGACCTAACCTGTAGGCACATTCTATTCATATAAACTGCAGAGTCCTCGGAGTTACAACCGGCACCTGTCAAGAACTTCAAGAAGTGTTCTGATTGGCCGCAACGCGCCTGCTGGTTGGCTGGAAATTGCAGACCTCCAATTGGTTCCCCGTCTGACAGCTCCTGCATAAATAGAGATGTTGTTCCTTTGTTCATAGTTGGTCTGTTAATAAAACAGTTTAGCATTCAGCCAGTGTTCTGTGCTTGAGTGAAGTGGGATCATAAAACTGGTGATGAAGAGTGTGTTACCAAACCCGCTGTGGAGACCAGCATGGCTGCTGTTAATGCTTTTACTGAATTCTGCCTGGGAAAAGAATCTTGGGAAGCTTTTCTCGAGCATTTTGAGTGCTTCCTCCAGGCAAATGACCTCTCAGAGCTTCTTCCTGACAGAAAAGGGGGCTTATTTCTGAGTTATTGCGGGCCGGAAATGTTTGCCACTGCTCGTGCAGATTGGTGCTTATACTAAGAATGTAGCAATGGGAAAGAAGTATTGGTAGAGAACCTGTTAAAAGCCCCAAATAGCAGCATGATATTTATATAACACATTAGAACATAAAGAACAATAAGGCCACTCTATAACTGTCTATCACATAAAATCCATAATTGTATACACAAGGGGAAAAAGGATGAAAAGCATAACACATCCTATAGCCAGGTCAACAGGTTCATAGGAAAGATTTGAATTTATTCAATTCAATGGCTCCCTATAGCCATAAACTGTATATAATCCCTTCAAAATGCCTTGTTGTAGACCCTGAAGCCTCCTATTAACATGACTTTTGGGAAATAATCACCTTAAATATATTTTAAGCAGTTGTCTGAGGTTTTTGTCTGTGTATCCTTCAACCAGTAAGCCATGCCTTTGAGAATCTGATCTAAAATAGATCTGAAAACACTGATAAAATGGGGGTGGTGGTAATTTATTTTACATCAGTTTGACTTGTAATAACATCTGTACATCAAAACTTGAAAAGTGAAAACTTAAAAATGTTCATCCTCCTCCCATTACTCTTGACTTTCTACAAAGCTATGCAACTACAACTTCACAAAGGCTGTGATCATAGAGCATGCTTGTTTAAACGCTGTAAATTTATAACAAACATTCAATAAAGATATACTTAACATATAAGCTACCATAGCTTCAGCTCGACATAAAAAAAATCAATATATATTTTAATCCATTTCACAAAGAATACTCAACTATCTCACTAATGCTGATACCTGAATTATTTTTCTACTGCAATTATCAGTAGGGAATTTGTTTTGATTTTTGCTGACATAAACTTCCTGAATAACTTGCTTAATAACTGACAGTTTATGTTTAGAACGTTCTGATGTCTAATCAAATATTTCCAATGCTGGAGCACCAAAAAGCCTGATGTTGAAAAAAAGTTGAGATTTTAAGCTACAAGTACTCAGTCTGTTTTAATTAATGAATATCTCTCAATTGCTAAAGAACAAGTGGTTTATGGCATGTTGGTATCATAAAACATGTTTCAGAATTAAACAAGAGAAATTTTGCTTAAAGTAAGTATTGACTTTGTCCCAAAATAATGTGATACTGAATATGTGGCAAATGCAAATAATTAAGGGAACTATGCTTGTATAGAGGGACATGGCGGCTCAGTGGCTAAGATGCTGAGCTTGTCGATCAGAAAGGTTGGCAGTTCAGTGGTTCGAATCCCTAGCGCCGCGTAATGGAGTGTGCTCCCATTACTTGTCCCAGCTTCTGGCAACCTTGCAATTCAAAAGCATGTAAAAATGCAAGTAGAAAAAATAGGAACCACCTTTGGTGGGAAGATAACCATGTTCCGTGCGCCTTTGGCGCTTAGATATGCTGACCACATGACCATGGACACATCTTCAGACAGCGCTGGCTCTTCAGCTTTGAAATGGAAATGAGCACCGCCCCTAGAGCCAGGAACAACTAGTACATATGTGTTACCTTTATGCTTGTAACTTTGCTATAATGTCTCCATAGTAATACCATATAAGTCCATGTGTTTCTGGTATTTTTTTTCCCTTCTCAGACAAAGGAAGAGAGAAAGACACATATACAGATGATTCAGAACATGGAAATTATGATTCTCGTACAGATGAATCTCTGCTTATTAAAAATACACCTACAAGGCAGAAACCAGAACCTCGGACAAAGTCTTCATTGAAGGTAATAGCTTTTGCATATTTACATTTTGTTTCCCCTTTTCTGATATCAGTATTAAGAGTACAGCTAGTCCTCCAGTTAACAACAGTTTTGTTTAGTGACTGTTGAAAGTTACAGTGTCATGACTATATTTTCACATTTAGATTTGTTCCAGCATCTCTATGGTTATGTGATCAAAATTCAGATGCTTGACAATTGGTTCATATTTATGACAGTGACAGTGTCCCAAGGTCATATGATCAACTTTTGTGACCTTCTGACAAGCAAAGTCAATGAGGAAGCAGATTCACTTAACAACCGGGTTACCAGTTTAACAACTGCAAGGATTCACTTAGCAACTGTGGCAAGAAAAGTCATAAAATGGGGCAAAACTCATTTAACAAATATGTCACTTAGCAACATAAATTTTGGGTTCAATTGTGGTCATAAGGACTACCTGTATTAGCATCTAAAGCAGGAGTGTCAAACTCAAGTCCTGTGGGCCAGATCCAGCCCATGATGTCATTAGATCTGGCCACAAAGCTTTCCTGGAAACAGTGAAAAACCATCCCAGTGCCTTGTCCCAGGCTGACCAAGTGCTGATCTAAAACTTGGTGATGGCCATCCAGGTTGGAACATGGTCAGTCGTAGATCTGTGGGTCTACCCTGGAGCCAGAAATGGGCTGCTCCCTGCCACATCCCCGGGACATGTGCTGGAGACAGTGGATCCAGGCCACTACAGGTGCACCCAAAGTGAGTGATGTGGAGCTGGCCACACCCACCCAGTTGCCTGTGATCACCCAGCCACACACATACCATCCTCCCAAGGTCAACTGCAACCCTGATGCGGCCCTCAATGAAATCGAGTTTGACACCCCTGAGCTAAAGAACAGATTATTATAAATGTAATCCATGTAAACAAGAGCTGGTATGGTCCAGTGGCTAAGACACCAGGCTATCCACTGAAACCAGTGAACTGACAGCTATAGTCACACCTTTGGCTTGAAAGCCAGCTGGGTGAATCTGGACCAGTCATTCTCAACCATATTAGGATCAGGCAACAAGCTGGTTAGTCAATTCCTGTTACAACCAATGTTACTTGTGAGGAAATGCTAGAAAGAAAGAAAATGTAATTACAATATATTAATTTTTGGAGTCAGATCACAAGAATGCAGTGGACAAGGCAGTAATAGAGCAATAATTACTGAAGTAGGAAGAGCTAAGATCTGCAGAGTCATGTTTAGTTATGTTAGGGAAGGGTCTGTGGTGTTTTAATTGCTGGAGACTAAAGTGATATAAATTTGAAAATGCGGTGGGGAAATGTGTATTCATTTTATAGTCATTACAATAAAGCAGATTTGGGTCAAAGTTCCTCCCACTCCATTTAAGCATAATTTTATAAAGCTTGCTATTTTATATAACAATAAATGGTTCCCAAAATTATTTGATGTGTAATCATCTGTATAATTCCATATGTGATGTATGGACATAAAATGTTCCCTTGAGTTTGTTTTTCATTCGAAGTGCAAGTCATAAAACTGCAAGGTCAATTGAAGGAAGGTATTTGTCTTTTTTCTGGCATCCATTTTTCTTATCAAAATTGCCCTTAAGGNCAGTTTGGTCCATGCAAAAGTTTTGCTGAACCGGTAGGAACTCACCACTGAAATTGCCCTTTTTTAAAATAAGAAATTCTCATGATTCTTCAATTACTTAATGAACACAGTGGGGAGAGAACTAGGTATATAAATATTTAAATGCAGGGAAAAGTGAATGACATATCTATTCAGGCAGGCGGTTGAATACATCATCCTTAAAACGAATGCACTAGTTTTATAATCCACGTTATTTATCTCACTTCTAAAGCTATCTAAGTCCTTATGTCCAGTGATGATAAATTCCATATGAATTCTGTGTCGGCGGGAACCCAGCTTTCTTTTATCTGAACTAAATGCCCACCCATCGGATAGCTTTTTTGTTTAATGAGAAAGAGAAAAGAAAAGCTCCACTTCAAAAAAGGAAAGTTTACTAAATGTGATGTAGGAAACTCTTTCTATTCACCTTTCATCTCAGGTCATTAAAAGAATAAAGGGTCTTTGTGTTTTCCAATCAGAATATCCCAATGGAACGATAAAGTGAAGAAGAAATTGCAAAGGCTACATCAAAAAGATTGAATTCAATCTGTGTTTAAGAACTGCTGTATTAAATGACCAGCAATGGGAGTCTGTCATATTGAACTATCAGTCTAGTGTTTCAGCCAACTGTTTGAACAGGCTCACAAAGAGATTCATAACTCCCAGAAGGCAACGTTTGGATCACACAAATCTTCAATCTCTAGATTTGTGGCATTTTAAGAACTCTGTCCTTCTAACACATAATGCTCAGATAATTGCTATAATTTAATCTCAGGTTTTTCATTGGTTTCAGGCATGAATACAAGCAGGAGTGAGACAGTGAAAGAACCACCCTTAAAGCCCTCCAGAAGATCCTTGCCATGCCTTGCCCAGAGCCAAACTCATCCACAAAGTCTCAGCAAGCATTCCTCATTTCTTCAGCCAAATCAAGTGATGCCTCTGTCCCAGCCTCAGCTTCAGTCTCAGCCTCAGACTATGACTGCAGAGGCATCAAGTGCTACAGTCAATGTAGTATCAGAACGAGGTGAGTGTTGATTTAATCAGATCTCTCTGCTTCTTTACAATTTATGATACTGAACAAACCAAAGCAATTCAGCCACAATGGATTTTAGAGAGAATGCGAGACAGACAGAGACACAGAGGGAGGGAGGAGAGATATACAGACACAGAGACAGACACAGAGAGAAAATCACATAGAGAGACACAGAGGGAGGGAGGGGGGGATGGAGAGGCAAAGAGCCACACACACACACACACACACACACACACACAC